AATTTTAATTTTAATTTTAATTATTTTTTAATTTTTTTCGTCGCGCTGCTGATGACGTCAGGTACGCGCTTTCGTCGAGCGCGGTTTTGTCGACCGCGGTTTTGACGGGTCACGAAGAATTATATTCTATTTAACGTTTATTGAATTAACCACACATCCAGATCTCATCAATAGTTAATTTTTAAAAGCTTAATATATTAAGTGTTAGAAAAAAATATATACAAGTATGGACATATTTATATAGATATACACACCTATTTTTTCAGGCTTCAGAAGTTTAAAAGAAACGGTAGAAGTCCCGTTCCCTCCTGACTTTGTAGTTACGATAATGTCCCCTTTGTCATTCTTAGCTTGACCTACTCGACACACAATTTTGCTGGCAGACATCCATTCGGCAGTGAGAAGGCAATTGTGTCCACAGATTGTCAAGCCTTGGTTAATGAAGATTCAGAGAAAACAGAAAAGCAAAATTTGTTTAGGAAAATTTTTAAAATGTCATTATCTCCAATATATCTGAAATGCTTTTATTTACAAATGAGACTCATATTATGTTTATAGATACCCTTTAAACATATAATTTAAATGAAACTTAAAGGGGTTTGCAAATAAAAACTAGATATGTTCCGCTTCACTCTACCTAAAAATGAAATTAAAGACACAATATAAACACTTTAAAAGTCAAAAGTGCCTTTTTGCCATAATTGTGAAGCGAATCACTGCAATTGCTACGTAAGGGAATCATGTAGTTTGTTAAGCAAACCTGGTTTCCTGCATTGACTCTGCTTGTCAGAAGCCAATTTAGAAGGTTACAAATGATGATCACATGTCTCTGGGACAGTCTACCTGTTATATTCCAGTTGCCAAGCACCTGAATTTTGATCACATGACCCCTGGGATGCTGTAATGTTTGAGAAAAATCGTAATAAGTCCATTTTTTTCAGTATCATTGTAACTTTGAACGTCACTAAATGTATAGTTTAGAGTTAAGTAGAGGACTACTTGCAATGGCAGGTAGTTTGATCTGTGTAAAGTCTAATTCCAAAACAATCAACAGATCAGACTTTTTCTCCTTTACAAAAAACCTAAAAACCACTCCTTCCCTTCAGACAGAGAGCACCCAAGAACTTTCCATCTCTAACTTGCCTATATATAAAAGGTTCCACAGTTAAAAGTATCTGCTGGGGTGTTTTTTATGTTGTTAACTCTCTTCTTAACGTTACTTATTAGAATTCAGAGATTTTGTTTTGGGATTAACAGATTCCAAGCCAGGATGCTAGCAGATATCTGATGTTGGATATACACCATGTACATAAATCTGAAAGAACAGATTCCATCTTTATGTCAGTAGTTGGAAGAAGAGGATTGTAGAAAGGTTGAGGAAAAAATCAGTTCAGGGGTAACACTTTTAAAGCGAATCCATTGCTCTGTTTCTCTGCTGGGCTCCATTCTGTTTGTGGAAGCAAATCAGGCAGCAAAAGGAAGCCCTGTTTGATCTGGGATATTTGAAAAAAAAAAGAGAAATTGTTTTCTTAAACTTTCTCTGCATTGGACAGTATGTAGCATTTAGCATGAATTTCCACTTCCATCTATCTTTCCAGCTGTTCAACGAACAAGGCGGCAAAAAATGAAACAAAGAATGGGTTTTGAGATCCCTTTGTTGCCTAAGGAAGAAAAAGTGAGCTGACTTTTGTATCTTTGGAATACCTAGAACTCAAAATCAGCATTAAGTTATTTTCTATACTTTGAGGATTTTTAAACCTTCCCCCCACTTTTTTTTAATGAGTATTGTACACACACATGCCGTGCAGTCATGTGACATCAAGAACACACTACTAGGCAAGGGCACTTTTGCTACCATTACTGTCATAAACCAGAGAGTATGGCTGCTTATTTATCTACTATGATTAGCTTAGTTGCCATCAATGGCAACCCTTCTTCAAATTCATAAGACAAAATTATTAAAAATGGTAATTGGTCCTCACTGATGAAGCAGTGTGGAATGAATGCTACTACTTTTACTCGTGACCCGACAATTGCGCGATAGACATATGCCGATTAAAACGTGACGTCAAAATCGCGCCCACAAATTCGCGATGTCAAAATCGCACCAACAAAACCGCGATGACAAGCAGAATAAAATCAAAAAATTTTTAGGGTTAGGGTTAGGGTTATAACGTACGTATACGCGTCCCACTATGTTAAAGGCCCAGCACACTCACTGGGCTGTCTATAGTTTGTTGATGACACGATTTTGTCATCGCGCATTTGTTGGCGCACTATTGTCAAAAATCAATTAGCGATTTTGATGGCGCTCATTTGTCCATTGCAGTTTTGTCGGCGCGCATATGTCTATCGCGCATTTGTTGGCGCGCTATTGTCAAAAATCGATTAGCGATTTTGACGTCGCATATCTATCGCGCATTTGTT